AGCCTTAAAGAGACCATGTCGTCTATGTCATACCACACAACACGTCACCGATGATTGTCCTTTTTTGTTCGAGAGATATGGTGCACGTAGAGCTAACGAGAGAGATTGGTATCGACGAGACAATTGGACGTACTCAAATTTTGATAGGAACTATTACGGTTGGGGCGATCGTGGAAATTCATTTTATGGAAATCCACAGTATTCTCGATCATATGAGCCTACTTATGAGCACGATGACTCTCAATTCCGCTATGGAGGCTCACAATATTTTTCAGAACCTTCGCTTGAACAAAAGACTAGTCCGTCATTGATGGAGTTATTTGAAGAGTGTCAAAATTCTTTGATGGCTAGTAGCAAAGCGATTGGTGATGTATTGAGCGAATTGGATGCCCGAGCCAAGAGTCGGCTATTATCTCAAGCCGAAGCCAGCCACGATGATGTCGGAGACCTGAGGATGTGCAGCGACACAGAGCCTGAGGTACTGGACGAACGTAATTTTGAGTCGAACGGCGAAGAGAATGAAGAAGAAGGCAATGAGGAGCAAATTTTCGCTGATATCGGCCCCCCCGATAAAAACCTGGTAGCATTTACTACTGCTATCGGGGGCCCCGATAACAGCCTGCTCGAGAGTGAAAATGATGTAAATGCTCCACCAATTGCCCCAAGCATGATCGAAATTTCATCTCTTCTATCCGATACTAAACAACCAGCAACCGAGCACGTTAAAAATCAAGAGCCTTACATCCTTGAGGTGGTTCAGATTTTTCCTCTTATCCATGATCCTGGGCTAATCTTTTACCATGATCATTTGCCACCTAGACGAAAAGATCCGGTTAAGCACCCAACACCAGATGCGAGGATCCTTAAGAAGCATGGTGTTGCAAGGTTCATGCCTCCTTTGAGGCCACCTATGAAGCCACCATGGACCGCTTGAAGAAAGCGGAGTAATAAGTCGAGCCAACGACAATAAAAAAAAGGCGCTTGTTGGGAGGCAACCCAATGGTGTGCGACGACCGCGACTTTTTCTCTTTGATAAGGTGAACTCCTTCCTTTTACCTCCTATTTTGTTCTCTTATGTGCAAACGCTAAGTTTGGGGAGGTGTGTTAGTGTGAGAGGTTTATATGCTAGATTATTATATATTTCTTTGATTTTCTTGAGTAGGAGTCTATTTGTATGTGGAATTTTGCGATGATGACATGAGAGTCTATTGAAATATGGTGCTAGTTATGATGACTTGGATTAATGATTTCTGGTTAAATTCTTGAAGTGTTGTTATTTGAGGGACAAAGACATGACAGTTAATATTTATGTGTTTTATTCATGGTGAGTTGGTCTCGAACTGTTTATATTTTTGAAATGTGCTAGTGATTATTCTGCTTGATGTCGATTGTGTGAGGTGACTTGACGTGGAAAGTTGGGAGTTG